ATGATGATGATGATGTTGATGATGATGATGATGATGATGATGTTGATGGTGATGATGATGATGATGCCGATGATGATGATGATGATGATGATGATGATAATGATGACGATTCGGATGAGGATGATGATGATGATGATGATTCGAATAATATTGATGATGCGGATGATGATGATGATGATCATGATCATGATCATGATGATCATGATGATTCGGCTGATGATGATGATGATGATGGTAATGATGATGATGAAAATGATGATGATGATTATGATGGTGATGATGATGATGATGCTGACGAAGATGATTCGGTTGATGATGATGATGATGATGATGATTTGGACGAGGATGATGATTCGGATGATGATGGTAAATTGGTCATCGCAACTCAACTCAACTCTGGTGTCTGAGTGATACGGGGAATTCTTTTCGTTTTGTGTAGTATTACCAATGTCGTTCCCTCAAATTTTCACATTTCCGTAAGTCTGTTACTTGATTTGAAACAAAATGATCATTAATTAGTGAAAAACGATGTTTTTTGTGGCGTTTTTCTCTCGGTAGGAGTTGAATTTGGGAAAGATAACAGCCGGATCCATTGGAATTTACCGTGTATTTGACTTCATTGTGACAATCCAAACGAGAACAATTACACCAAACGCGCGATAACACATGATACCCTAAGCCTACAATGATGGTCAGTTCCTTTTTAACCCCGTTTAACACTACGAACAGCTCAATGGGCAGAAAATAATGGAATATTCAGTCACCGTGTTCGTATAAAAATATACTTCCAGAAAATTTCTAGCTGCGGTACAGAAAAACTGTTGTTCCAAAATGTTGATACATCTGTTTCGCACACTGCTGAACAACGTCTCACAATCGAATGGTCTAATAGATTTCTACTCAACATTGAGGACAACCCTTAGAATAGCCATATCAAAAAAGGGCTTTAGAATCTCGATACACTTGTCTAGTTCTTGATTATGCTGATATTGTGGATCTTTCAGTAAATTCATTGATCGTGGGACTGTTACGAATGCCGAGTTATCACGTGCTTTTACAGTCTAATCAGCTATTGAATCGAGTCTTTTCTTAGAGTCAGTAACTTACCCTTTCACATTTCACCCCTGAATCGATCCACTCGCATTGTTGTTGTGTAATTGGATCGTGGAATTCTCCTCTTATATTCTTCCTTTGGGTGTTAGCCAAGGGTTTTTATTTTAATCAATCGCTCTCTGAAAGGTATTTACACATTTGGAAATCGATATCACTCAAATCATCTGGCAGTTTGTGATCGTATGCAAACGACTCGATCCGGACTGACAGTTCACACTGTCTGCACCGGGCCCTTCTTCGCTCGATATGTATTGATCTAGCCAGTCCTAAATTTAAACCTTTATATACTGGCATTGCGGCTTTCTGAACGCGATTGTACCCAATGTGTCTCGTTTATTAGTTTGTGCAAGACAAGTATCCAATGAGCTAAACAACAAAATCACTGTTCCCCACAGCATAGCGTTTTGTTCTCTCTCTCTCACTGTCACAATAGTCCCTAACCATGTGCCCCGTTGTTTCCGTGTGCAAAATGTTAATTTAACAACTTTTCTTACTGAAACTTGGTTCTCAATGAACGACCAAATTTAAATCCTATCATAGCGTAGGTAATAGCTGAAGGATCAGGATTGGGCGAACAGCAGAACTACAAACGGGCCGCCCTACACAGAGGCGGATTGTTATAAAGAGAATAGCGATACGTTCCTACAGTCTAAATTGTTCATTGTTGTGTTGTTTTACGGAAACCGTACCATTCCACACTCATTTTCGATGTCATAAAAGGCACAGCGAAACGTTCAAGGTCGATTCGTTTTGGTTACAGTTCAGCATTACCCTGTCTGGGTGAAATCGGTTCTGAAAATGCAACCGAGATCACAACCGACCGTTTTCGGTTTGTCTGCTTATTACGTAATTTGGTTTCCATGCCCGGTATTATCATGCCGGTAATGATGTTGAACCGACCAATCAGGTTGAACCTTTTCCCCGTCATCATATGCCAGTTCTTCCGATTGGTGCGTTCAACGAACCTGGCGCACAAACCGCCACTGAATTCAGCATTAATGCAAACGAACTATTGACCAGATATGTTTGCATTTCTTTGAAGGGATTTCTAATCCAATCGTTTTGTTGTATTCCTTTGCGATAAGTTAATGCCAAAATTCTTGTTCGTCCAGAAATCCTAACTAAGTGATGAAAAATTGACGAGCATTTATTTCGTCTTCCGATGATTCACTGTTTCGGTATTTGTAATATTTGCTACACAGCAGTTTGTAACTGTCTGAATGTCAACATCTGCCTGTCTCTCTTCTACTTACGACAAGCTGCTGCCTTCTTTCACGGTGAAAAAGTGACAGCTCGATTGGGTTATGCGGTCACACGAAACGGTGACCAGTTAGTGATCCTCCAGCTATCCACCGGACTGGGCTCAGCAAATTGTCACGGATTCACGAACCGCGAGGGTGTCAGCTAGGATCAGAGTGTTTCCATAGGTATGGTTTACTCCATTTTTTTTTTACAAACAGATAAATACAATTTTCGGTGAAACACTTCCTTTTTGGTACACTTGTGCAGTGGAAAATGGCTCTAGAGATCACTGCATCTTATGCAACCAAATGAGATCGATATGCGCCTAATTTTGGCTCTCACTGTAAGTTTTGAAATGTATCATTTCAGGATTGCTTATTGATAACACAAATGTCCAGAACAGGGACCAGGACTAATACATACACGTTTTCCGTGAAATTGATCAAATCACTGAGATGAAATTTTTTATAAATTTCATCATATGGCAAAGAAATTGAACCTACTTGCAAATGGTGTGGTCTCACTTACCCAATCGGGCACAGCGACAACATCAGCCGATCGATGATGATAGTTGAGCACGAGGACAGTGAAAACGATCGATAATGAGCACATGATCATGGTGCAACAGAAGTAAATTCCTGATGAAAATGAAACAGATAGGAGACGAAGGATAAACGAAACAATTTGGTTTCAATAACTTTCAATGGGTGTATGGATGAAAACAGACGCATTCCCATGATTCTATGTATATTTCAGTGAAATAAGCTGAATTTGAGAATCAGAAAGTAAGAGAGAGAGAGTTTTGTATAAATGTGACATTCATCTAAAATAATCTCAACAACATTTTCCAAACTCTTTTTGTTGATTGAATGAAAAACCGGTTGCCAAATCATTATCAAAGGAGCTAAAACTAGGAAGGAGGAAAGGTTAGTGCCCGATTTGGGGATCGAGCACATGACCTGTGAGTTAGTGCTAATGAAAACCGATTGATCAACATCACCATGAGCAAAATTCAGTTCAGATCATCCCGGAAAAGATAAACTCAGATTGACTGCTGAACATGATCGTGTGATCGTTTAACGGTACTACTGAGGTACTGTTCCGAAAATAGCCAGCGAGTGAATAATTTCCCGCAGTATGATGGTCGATACGCAGCAAATAGTGATTTTTCAGTCTATTGTGCAGCATCGTGAATAGAATATCGCACAGATTCTTGCACATGAGACATTCTTGATACTTTTATTGTGTCCGCGCATGTTGGCATTGATTACCATATATATGCATGATTGATCGCTGTTAAAATCCGTGCAATTCTAGTATCGAGTTGAGTTGTGCTAAGATAAATGTTGGACAGGTAGAGGAGTTTGAAGAGTTTATTCTATCGATAAGATATGTGCGGAAAATTCTACTGACTTAGGTTGCTTCAACGAGGATAAAATGATAAATATGTGACTCGACTGAATCCGCCATTTGACAGCTGTAAATCAGGCATGCCTAGGTCGAAACGATCGATCAATCTGAACTGAAATGGTCGAACACACTTCTAACCGCATTTCTGATAGGCTGATTTGCCGGACCTACTGACTCTGACCCATAAACTATTCTTGATCATCGAATGTCAAATGGTCAAAAGAGATAAACCCTACAAACACATTCCCCACATTGTTATGTCTTCGCCAGACACAGTAACTAAAATTGTTCACAACAGATGTCCTGAATGGGCCTCCAAGTGTTTGGTCTTTGCGCTTATTGTACGGTGGTTTTAACTAGTCATGCGTCTTCATGTACACACACACACACACTGTCTCATGAATCCTAAGACTCGACTGGATTCACCAATTCATTTCATACTGGTCAATGTTCTGGCAACACGACCGATAAGAGTCCATGAGAATCTACGCCTTTGGTTATCTCGATCGAAGAGTGCTTACTGAACGCTTTTCTAAGTTTGGCCTGACACCTGAAGTCTTGAATGTACTGATCGACTACTTCTCCCGTAGGACTCAGTTTACCTCACTGAATGGAGTACAGTCTTTTTCTATTAACATTGACACTGATGTTTTTTAGGGTGCCATTTCACCTCTTTTCACGTTTTCTAGCAACTTTCCAGCAACTTTATTGCTTGTAAGCATACTGATGATATTGTGATTGTTTGCACAGCCATGTTTCAGAGAGTTTTCGACCTCTCCAGGACAGTTCTAATGAACGTCACGATTGACCTGTGACCCGATTCCTTGTAATTAGTGAAAACATTCTCAGATCTGTATCTGTTTAATTCCTTGGTGTCACCCTAACCCAAAATCTGTCCTGGTCTGCACATGCCATTAACGTTTTCAAAAAAGATCGAAAAATGTCTTTTTATGCTTACAGGCTCAGGAAACTGGCAGTAACACAATCTTATTTTTAAATTTGCGATTGCCTGCATTGTTTCACACTGGCTATATTACTCCCCGATTTTTATACTCAGGACTAAAAGAAAAAGACTTCACTTTATTTTCGATATCCCTTAAACTGTTGTTGCGCTAAAGTGGAGGGGATAAAGCTGTTGTAGTTGATTTCTTTATTTCCAGGCATCTTGACGCGTGTGATACATTCATTGACAGGATAACACGTGATCAAGAGCATTGTCTGCACCAAGATATCACATAAGCTCTGTCAAATCCTCGAACTCGCTCCAAATATCAACTCCTTTCTTCGCGTACTTCCACATATAGAAACAGTGTACGTCCATGCCTGGCTCAGTTATTGGTTAATTGCCAGACTATTCTCACCCACCTCGAGGGATAACTCTTGCACTAATTCTCTTCTCTCATTCACTTAAGTGTAGAATTTCCAAATATTGTCAGTTTTGTTTGCAATTGGTTTTATCTATCCACTGTAAAAACCTTACATTGCTAAAAATTCACCCTTCGGATGCATGAGGCGTTTTTTGACTGTGATTTGAAAACGAATTCCTCCCGTGACGTTCGTCTCCCCCTTTGCCTGATCAACTTCATTTTTCAAAAGAAATGGTTCCATTTCAAATGAAAATTCGTCGTCTATCTGGCAAGTGAAGC